CGTAGCTAGTTCTCTCTGAAACATGTGCATCCTCCTCGTTACGAATGCAATTTCATGGGCTACACAGATAAGAGAGGGAGCCGCGCATTTGGCCAGCCTAGAAAGGGGCTGACGGTGGCGCAAAAAAACGACCAGAGGGAGCACATTCCGGATAGTCTCTATATTTTGTTCTCCTTGAAACTTACGAAATGAATATCTAACGATATTGGCTCTATCCGTCGGTGTGCACCTCCGACCCACGTCATTTTCGCTCGACTGCAATAATCCTAGCATTTTACCAGGATCACCCCTCCCACCTGCCTTTCTACCTCCGTGCGCTACAACGTCGTCTTCGATGACTTGCACTTGCCACGGTGATTGAATAATACTTGTTTCAATTAGCAAAGAAATAATGTCGGAGTAACGTTCGTCCTGCTAGGTAATGATCTCATCTATCGCTTAAGTAAATAGATAATGAACTTCGCGATGCTATAGATTTCATATTTACCACTTTTGAATGTAAATTTACGATGCTATTAATTTAATGTTTGCTCGCTTAACATCGATATCTGTACGGATACGATAAGTCGCAGTCTAAAATCATCTCGCGGGGAGACGTTTCGTCGCGTTTGCACCGAGAAAACTAGTTACGAAAACTGAGGACCAAAAATAAAATCACTTCAAATTTGTTCTAGGAACCATCGCCTCTGGTACATAAATATCGATAAATTCTATTTTTTTTTTTTTTAAGTACGAGAGACTTGTTGATACTTCTGTCCTCCGACTCGCCTATAAAATCATTCCACGTTGGCAAAAAGTTAATAACGACCACGGTGCTCGATAATTACCTTAATTTCCCCCGACAACCCTCTCCCTGCCTCGCCTAGAAACGTTCGAGCCATAGGGACAATCAATTCTAATCAGATCTCGAAACCAATGTTCCCTCTCACGGTCTCTGTGCACACATTCGACGGCCATCATCTCCGTGGCGGTTTTTATCGATAATTGCGATCGCCCGCGGTCACGTGGACCGTGAAGCCATCGCGGAGACATCGACGACGACGCCATATTGGTAGCGCCGGTAGGTCGAACAGCGGCGCGTATTCCTGCCACGATATTATCGTATTTACTCTGATACGAAGATTTGCTGATAATTGGCGCGATAAGGGGCAATCGAGTGCGCAATACGCGCCCGCAACAAACAATCGCCGCGGACGGGACGACGAATTTTATCGCCCGATACCGAACGCCGTGAAACCGACTGTTGGGAAACGGATTAGAGCTCGACTGACAGGATCGGTGGGTGGATGGAGAAACCAGGCTTTCACGGTTGCGTAATGGACCTCGGGAAAATCTCTCGCCGCGCCTCTAACCCGTCACGATCGCCGATTTCTGAGAGTCGCGACGGACTTGTACTTCCATCGCGGGACGGTTCGATCTAATGGAGGTTAGAGATAAGAGAAGTTCAGCTAGAGAACTGTGAGAATAGTGTAGAATTGAAAAACGCTTTAGTTTTTCAGACCTCCCACCTACCCTCAATGTAAATAAGAAATCTTAATTTTAATTCTCACAATTCCACTTGAATTGCTCTACCCCATTTTCGTATTATTTTCTAGACAGCATCGCACTTTCATCGTCGTTCCAGAAGATGAATTAAATTAATTGCAACGATTAGGATAAATCGCTCGAACAACATTCCGCGTGGTGATCGTTCAACCGAAGCAGGAAGTCTCATCGTGGAGATCTCACCTTACGGTCCGCCTAGGAGGAGCACGGATAGCGTTCTTGGTTATTTCTTGATCGCGATCGCTACATTAGCCAATGTGTTTTGAAACACTCGTTGAGCGTATTTGCGTTGGCATCGGCGGCGCGTTGTCTCTCTTTCATCTCTCCACGGTGCCAGGCGTCTCGCCTCGCGTGAAACCACCCAAGAAAGAAAGTCGTCGGCTGTCTAATTGCGAACACTTTCTTACCGAGACGTCCTGTCCCTGATCCGAGGATCTGTCGCGAGTAGGCGACAGATGGACGCGAGATTGCTTATTGGCAAATGCCAATTTTAGGCGAGTTGGTCGAGGTGTTAGAGACTGAAGCAAAGAGATTAAATTATTTGACGAAATATCGATATATTAGCATGTGATCTGAACACGAGGTACTGTATTTGTTTAACGAGTCTCGCGAAATTTATTATACGCAGATAAGAAGTTCGTCCAATCTTTTCAATGTCTCTGCCAGAGACATTGAAAATAATATTCCAAATCTGCGGATGAAGATCGTGAGTTCCGCCATGTCGCACAAAGGTCCGCCCGTCTGTTTTTATTTCAACGGTTGAAAGCTTCTTCGAAGGCAGATCAAAGCAATTCGTTTTCGCGGACGGCTCTTCAAACAATCGGGAAATGTCCACGGGACTCGAATGTCCCCGATATAAAATGACAACGCGTTATTTATAACTCGGATACGTCAACCGCCACGGTAGAAAGCATTTAGTTGTTTTCCATGAATTTGGTTTCAAGAAGACGTCCTCGAGATAAGGAGGAGTCGAGAACAATGATCGAATACGGATGTCCGCGGCGGACATGAAAGAACGGAGTTGATTTCGACGTGGATTAATTAAGGAGCTATCGGGGGAGGAATTAAGGTAATAAGAAACTAACAAACGAAGGGACGGCTGGGAGGAAATCAGACATTGCGTTGAAATTATATTCTCCGAACAAATAACTTTTAACCTTTTTACCTTTCATTTTTCCTACAGAAAATAGCAACGCAATCATAGAAATAGATTATGATTACAGATTCTGCCATCTTGATTAGACGCACGTGTTGAATCAATATAGCGAACCAATATGTTTGCCTATCGCTATTGGTCTACCGTGTGTGCTCACTATATACAGTCGGTCTCATAAGTATCCGTACCCTCTATGTCTATTGAAAAAATTCATCTAAATTAAACGAATTAAATGAATTAATGAAATTTCTCTAAATTAAATTTAAAAAAAATTTATTTGGAAACATCAAACCTATCAATTAATTAAGATAAATGTCTTCGATAGACATAAAAAGTACGAATACTTATGGGATCGACTGTATGTCTGATCAAGATAACAGAACCTGTAATAACGCTCTATTCTTACCACCAAATTTACACCCTGTGTTAAGAAATAAACTCTCAAGGCGTCTTTTGGAAACCCTTTTAGCGCAATGTTGCTCGAGAATCTTCACCAACCGATTTTTCGCGCCGGAGGTACCCTATAAAACCCCCATCCCCGTCTCCCAAGATCCCCCAAGAACCGTTCATCTCCGCGTCGAAGATAATCGAACAACTACCCTTTTCCCCTGCTACACTGTCGCATTATTTACTCCTCGTTATCGTCTCCGGGCCAGTGGCCCATCTCCGTCACTCCGTCCCTCCCCCCTCGCTCTCTTCTATCCCCTTAATCGGGGAATAATAAAAATCATTCCCGTCCCGCGATGGCTTTTCAATAAAGACATTGTTCGCGGAAGCAAATTCTTATCCGTGAAAAGGCGTCGTCTGGGGTTGTTCCATCGGCGGCTGAGCAGGCGGGGGTGGGTGGGTGGGTGGGGTGGAAAGGACCTAGAAGGAGGGTGTTCGAGGGGTGTGCAGGGGGGATTATCGGCTTTGGGATTACAACAGGCCGAAGCAAACGATTTCCTTCAAAACAAGAATACCGGAGCAGCCGTTGCAAAGTGGCGGCTAGGGGTGGAGACGGAGAAAGGGGTGGAGGTCGTTATTGGCCCTAAGCAGGATACTTATTGAACTCTTAGCGGTGTTTTTATCACTCCTTTTCTCGCGAGCACGCGCGCCGCCGCGTTCTTTGCCGCCGCTTTAAGTGTTTTCGCCTTTGTTTAAAACGCCCACCCCCGCGCCGCTCACATTATGCACCCTCGTCACGGTGGGCGCGAGGAGATTCTTGCAAGACTCCGCTTCGTAAACCGTAAGTGAAGGGGTTCGACCACTTTGTGCCCCTCTTCGAGGCAGGAGTGCGGACTGGGGTAGTAGTTTTCAGGAGGGTGGCGAGCGGTAGTGTTCCTATTGTCGAGGGGGTAGTGTAATCCGAGTACGTGTCACTCTGGGGGGGTATCTTTCTTTGATTGGAGTGGGCTTTCTCACCGTGGAATACTGTTTTCGAAGCGTATTGGATTTTATTTTCTAGTGGTACACGCAGCACTACGACAGAATTATTTTTCATCATTTGATACGTAAAACTTAGATAGGAAAAATTGTTACAATGTCGATTTTTTTAGTAAACGAATTGATTTTCACTCCGACGATACTGAAATTCCGTTGAACTGTTGCACGCGGCGCTTTCAGCTGCGTGCGCGTCGAACTGAATGACTGACGTACTCGATAGAGCACGTGGTTGGCCCTCACTCACCCCCTTTTCGTTGTTTGTCTCCCCCTGCCCCTTCCCCTCCACGTTTCTGTTCTCCCTGGATCGTACGCACGAAGCACGCGCGCACCAGCCAGTGAAATTCACCCCCGAGTGCACTTCACCTTCCCGATACGCGATAAACGCCTTGAATCACGCTTTCGGAACGCAAAGTGTGACTAATGGCAGTCGGCGAACCGACGGAATTGGTAATGAAAGAAGATCATAAATAGGAGACGCTGTATCGATGAATATTCATCCCCTCGAGCCGACAGGAATCGTCGGGATTTCGACAGAGACGGTTTCGCGCCATTCAAACCCGCCCTGACGAGTCGAATCAGGCTCGATTCCATTTTCGCTTTGATCCATGCTCGCAATTCGAGGTAAATTGATCATCGACGGAAATTTAGGGCTGGGTTGTCAATCGTACTCGAGATATTTTCATTGTTCGTCCTTGGGGCGGTGCATGTAGCTTGGTAAAAAAATTATCAACCCTCAACGTAATCACCAAGCACTCGACAGGTCCCGAAGTCGAAATATTTAACTTTCCAATTAAACAAGAGGGATTCTATCGCAGTTAGTTTTGGGCGTTGAAGTAGCCCAGACATTTTAGCATCAGCAGAATATGAGACTTACCTCTTTGTCCTTCGCTTGCAGTTCCTGTTCCAGGTTGGTGTTGGGCGTTCTCCTGGGATTGCTCGCATCGTGTACCTGCTGCTGTTCGCTTCCCTGTGGTGTCTGAGACAATTGATGTCCCTCAGTCTTCGAATTCCCGTCATTTGCCGCGGCAAGTTGCTCCTTTAAAGCGGAAACTTCCTTCTCCGCTAATGTCGCCCTCTGTAACAAGGAAAATGCAAAACTATAGCGTTCAATCGAGCCTCGAGTCATTTAAGTACAAAGGATTTGCCCTTGGTTAATTTCAATCGATGCCTTTTATTCTATCTATTCCTCTGACTTTAAAATCTGACGAATATTTAAAAAAAAAAATTGGTCGCCGGCAACCACCGACATCTTTCTACCCCTAACAGTGACGCAAATGAAAAGTACTTCGAATTATTTCTAATTTTAATATCGCGAACTCGACTGCCGCGGAATATTTTCGCTTCGTTAATATCGAGGATCAACGACATCTCGACGAGCGATAAAAAGAAGAAGCATGAATGAAGAAAACGTCGGGCGACGATGAAATTATCGCGGTGCCATAATGACAAACACTTGCTCCCTCGCCCCGACCGAGCGGTTCGCTTGTACGAACGATCTGTACAGCACGGCATATGGCTAAGCCATTAATTAGCATCTGGAAGCAATTAAAGTAACTGCGAATTCGGTAGTAAAATACCGAAACGCCACGTGGACGTCGACAACAAATCCACGTCAGTTTTTGCCCCGATGCATCGAAGACGATCAATACTTCAGCGAAACGGTGACTCTAGCCTCCATTCGATTATGAAATTGCACGCTGACGTCTGAACTGTTTTCCATAAAGGTCTCGATATTCAATTCTTTTTGTTTATTTCAAACCTCTTGAGCCTCAGATGACTCTGTAGTCATTCAGTATTTTTATTTTTGAAATATATGTAATTAATAACGCGTCGCTATCAATTTGCATACTGATGAATAAAATTGTTTTCCGTTAGGGTATTAATTACCGATATTAATTTCTTTTTTGTTTTAAACCTCTTCAGCCTCGGATGCCTCTGAATCCATGTTTAGCCTTTGAAACCTAGCGTATCCTTATCAATTTGTATGAAATATGGTTTTAAAGCGATGCTATGACCTACAAGCAATGCGTATAAATCAACTATTTCATAGTTTCTCATCGCGATGCACCCGCGTTGCGTGCAATTCTATTGAAACATGAACTGAAGCAAAATAACGGATCGGCTATTAACCGTCTTAATTAAGTTATGACTCGACGGTGATCTGAATCGTTACATATTTAACAATTTATAAATATGTAACGTCCTCTATCTTATATTAATTAAGATCACCGTTAATAGCCTAGCTCATTATTTCAACTCAATCTCTGTAGAACTACATACGCTCGTTGTGAAACACAATTCGATTGTACAGTTTCCGTCTAACGAATAACTGATCGAAGTTCGCCTTCCGTCCGCTCGAAATTATTTATCCAAACGAGAATATCGCTGTTTCCGACGAGAACAGGAACAAAAGAAAGACACGGTCCGAGGCAGCGTTTGAAGGAACGAGTAATGATCCATTGTTTTCTGCAAAAAGCCTTGACGATGTTATCGATAATTACGAAATGATACGGGAAGCATAAGTATATATTCGAGACCGCGACGCACGCTCGACGGAATGGCGGACAAGTATCGATAGGCCTCATCTTGCCTATCTGTCACGTAGCGCTAGGTGGGGGCGTAGCGGAATCGAGGCTGATAGAGAGGATCGAGAAGATCACCGATAAAGATCGTACGCCCGCGATCGTCACATTAGCGGCGGAAGTCGTTGAGAGATAATGGCTCCTTTGAACGTTCCTAACGACGCTGTTTTCGTCGTTGTTCTATCAACAATCGGCTGTTAAAAGTTTGAGTTATGGAATTACGGGAAACTCGAACGCACCTTCCGGTATTTCGTTCTACTTCAAGGCTCCCCTGCACTTCCTCTTCAAATATATTTCAAACGGTGAAAGAAAAAACACTTCTTAACCCTAATCTTGCCGCGTATAAACGACAGATGGAAGCAATTGTTTGTTCTTTTTTCTACGGAGGGTAGAGACGAGAAGGACAAACTCGTGTGGTGTTTAAAACTGAAAAGCGTCCGCTTGTTTTCATAAAATATCGTTTAGATGAATTAGACAATCTTAAATATACCGTATCGGATACTATTTTGTACCATAATTGCATACTACTCTCACGAAATGTTCGACACTTTTCGAAACATTTTCCTACGTACTCTCTATACTGTTCTCTAAAATGCCAGAGACAATGGAGTGAAATTGCCACGAGCAGCAGCCTGTTGGGATTCGATCGTCAGACCACCGATTATGTACTCGCCTTTCGACCCTGACCGGAAGGAGGCGGGTGGAATTTCGATCACACCGAGCTGTTTCTTCGTCTTACACCCCTTCTGAAATTGACGGTTATCCGACTTGCACGCCGTCTCGAACATCGATCGATCGCCACTCACCGATTCGATATACGGAATCGCGGCTCATTGCACGTTCCCCGTGAGCAAGAACCTGCTTCGGGGCTGGTTTTAGGCCTGGCGGTCACGCACTTTCGGATCAGCTACCGCGGCATCGATCGGTTTCTGTCGTGTTAATGGCGGTTTCCACGTTTTCTGTACTCCGATTTCGTATGTCATGGAAATCAGGTCCGAACAATCGCTTTCAGAATCGTTGCATCTTTTCCAGATACAACAAGGAACATCAGCCAAACTGTTACACACCGATTTCAACGAAACTTGGTACACAGGCAAAGCATTAAAAAATTTTGAACACGTATTTTTTTTGTATGATATTCATGGTTGAGGAGTGAACACATGTAATTGCGATTGTGCAAGAAGTACTCCCAAAAGACTCCTTAGGACAACTCTTCATACTTTTTAACTCAGGTAAATAATATTTTTAAAAAATTCTTCATGCACAGATCTTTGGTAAACCTTAGTTAGGATCGTTATTTAATCGTGGATCAAACGTAAACCGTGTTTCTAAGGAGTGGTACAATTTCTATCGGCGATACGTCTTGATTCCGCGTGGCGTATGCGCGCGCACGGCATGCGAGTGTCGCAGCTGACGGCGCGCGGTGTCGTGGCCCGTCAAACGCCGAGCGTTCTTTGTGCTCCGCCAGTAGAATATCCCGAATAGATCAGCCTCCCTCGCGACTCTTCCCGCACCGCGCGTTTCTATTTTTATGCATAGCCCCGAATCATCGACACGTCGCGTTCTTTTCTACTATTTATTCCGTGATGGTTGACTAATGCACCAGCAAGCATCGGGAATTCCGGCGGGATCGATGGCACGTGTTTCGATGCGACCTGCACACTATGCCATGAACTCGATCCACTATGTGGGTCAGAGGTGGACAAAATTTTATGCGAATTTTCCGACTACCGGACGATTGAATTTATCCTTTGTTTGTTATCCTAAGCTTGTCTGAATTAATCATGTATTTGACGTTGCACAGAATTACTGATAGATTCGACCTCCCTTCCTAAGATCGTTAATGGGATACTCAGTCTTAATTCGTGAATATTGATCAAGTAGTAAATTTAAATCCCAACACAAATGTTACATTACTTTCCAATTGTATCGTAACAAAATTGTAGCTCCACAACAAATTTTCACGAGTATCACTGAAAGCGTTAATGAATCTCGTTGACATACTCGTCGAACATGTAACAAAAGTATGCTAATAATGGAATAATCTGCATTTTTAAAAACACGAAAAGATTGAAAAATGATATTTACCTCGCCACATTTTATCGTCGCGGTGCCCCTCTCGTTAAATAACCGTTGCAAGTGAGCCAGCGGCTCCGCGACATTGAAATTATACGGGGAAGGTACTTTCGTCAATTTATATTCTAATTCAAAACTTTGTTTCCGACCGTCTCGACACTTCACGTGCTTCCGCCCCGAGTTTTACTGCGCGACGTATATTCTTAGAAGTTACATGCGTATCTACGGGTACTTTCTCATCGAAATAAATTTTAACGACCCTCAGCCATGCCATTTTGCCCTCGAAACGGGAAAAGGAGAAAAAAAAGCTCGCGCGTTCCGAAGGCAGCTAAGTAGAGTAATTTATGCAAGCAACTAAAACGAATGCCTAATTACCGTGAAATGCATCGTTTACATTTACGGGCGCGTTTTACAGCGCCTTCGGTTTCATTTTCCAGATTCGTCTGATCTCGAGACTTCGCGCGACCTTTAATACCTCGTAACGTCTCGCGCCTTACAAATTGTTTCGAAAACTGTTAAATACCATGTACACGAATTGTAAAATCGGTCCAAAGTTGGAGTTCTATCGTCTTAAAAATTGGAGACGATCGTCATCCGCTTTCATTATTTCCTTTCAGAAATGAAAGAGATCAGGTTCAGTTACGTACGTTTCGGCTGCAACCCTCGTGCAAGTAGCTACAGTTTTTCTAGCAAAGAACACACACGATCCAAAAGATAGTGGTCTAGCCTGGAGTTAGGTATGATAGTTCACCCTCGAGAGGAAGAATAGAAGTCGATCGATGTCGGGGATGAGATCGATCAGGGAGCCGCGTGTGATCGTGGTTGTCCGCGTAAACACCAGGATGGCGTTACGCGGTGGCAAGAAAGGGAGGAATACCTTATACCAGCCGTCTTTATAATCTCCCGCGGGGTAACCGAGGGGGTGGCAGTGGTGGATCAGCCGTTTATGACTACCCGGCGGTGTTATATTTTTTTGTGGGTGGCGGAAGGCAAGAGACGGCCGTGATATTTCAAATTTTCTCATTACACCTCGAGGTGCGAATGATCTCCATCTCCACCCTCCCCCCCATTCCCCCCTGTTCTCTTGAGCCCCTTCTTCCCTTGGTCGGAGCCACCCTATCCAGCGCAGGCTCTCTTTACCGCACCGATACACCGTGACGCCGTTCCACCACCTCCCCCAATCACCTCCCGCCCCCCTTCCAGGCCCCCTTCTTCAATCTCACACCAACCAGCCATCAGGCCGAACCCCTCTTGTATTTATTATTAAGATATCGACCGGTTCTAAGTCCTGGTAGGCACTGCAATATGCGGCGGGAAACACTCCGACCATACACACACGGAATCGCGAAAGAGAATGCCGTTCGACCCCTCTTACGATACATCCATCCCCACCCCCCGCCTCGTACTGCTTTCGAGT